TATACACTTTTAAAGACATTTTTTATTACAGTGTTTATAAAGATTATACGGAATTATTGTTTATCACTCCAAAATACCTAGTATGCCAATTCGTCACCTTTCCATATAATTTTCCCTTAATCAGCCATGTCAATTTGTTAAAAGTTTTTTTTTTTGGAAACATGCTAAAGATATATCTACTTGGAAAAACATGCACCTAATATAATTATATCGACTTTATTTGACTTCAGTTTTAAATGTTTCATGTAAATAATATATACCTCTCCTGTTCAGAAATATGCAATAACAAATAAAATTCAATTATAGAAAACATAAAAGAAAAAGTGCACATGTACAGAAATGTATGAACTGTGGCTCAATGTTGTCCACTTTACGAGTTTGTTTTTAATGCCCCATTTAAATCTATAGCTGACACCAAATTTAAACCAGTGTTTCTTATAGAATTAATACAGAAGTCTAGCAGTTTTGTTGTACATTTCTTGTGTAATTCTACAAGTTATGTCTTAAAATTCATTCTCCCCCGACCAATTGTAGTAAAATAAAAAAAAAAAAATGTCTAATCAAAGCAGAATAAAAATTTTTAATTTTCAATTTAGTTTAATTGGTATAAAAAAAAAGTCAGATGACAATTATCTGTCCTTCAAGTTAATCTGTCCTTCAAGTCAAATCAATGTTCAGTCATTCAGCCTTTTTTTTAAAAAAACTCGCATTCCCCATAATCCCATCTCTCAAAATATACACTGTATTTTTGAATGAAAAAAAATTAATAAACTGCAGGATGCAGCTATCTGTAGTCAATAAGTTATCAGAATTGAATTGAGATGACAACGCATCCAATTCTTTAATTACGTTAATTTTAAATTCACATAGCCCTTCAAATAACCTACATACATTACGTAACACTAGGACAGGATTTTTACAAGGTATTCTTCTACTGTTTTTTTATAGGTGAGATTAGATATTAAAGAACATGCATGAAATACACTTACAACAGTTATATCGTTACAACGTCAGGAATTCAGAGTTTAGCAGATCAATAAAGCATTATTAATGCGGTGTGACTTTTTGGACAAAGTTGAATTATTATCGTCTGTTTAAAACAATATGAGTTGCCTGTTTGACATCGGAAAACTTTATTGCAAATTTGTAATTAATAATTTAATGACAGAAAAATAAATCATTTATAAACTTCTGTTGTTCATATTTGCAATGGAATTTTTTTTTATTAGCTTTCATTTAAGCAAATTTGAATTATTGTCGTCCTGTACAATAATGATTTCTTATATAAATCTGTATACTCGGTTGTACAGAAATATTTCTTCTGAAACATGTTTAAACTTTATTTTGGGCTTGTTGGTCATATGGGTTAAAATTACATACAAATTAATCATAATATCACATTTTACCAGCAAATTAAAATTCTGAACCATAAAGCTCTTATTGCTTGAATATTATCTTCATTTTCTATTTCAGACCTGTTTACTCTTACGATTTCGCCGTATTTTGTACGGATTTTTAGTCCAAATTACGTCTCACGTTTTGTTATTATGAAAGTACGGAAATTGAAAATGCATTTGTTTTGAATTCGTTATGATCTGCCTCAGTTTCACGTTTTTTTTTATCCCTAAAAAAAAGAGGTTTCAAACACAAAAGTGATGTCGGGTTGCCAAGTTCAGCTTATTTCAAGTTCAGTTTAAAACGATGTGGTATGAAACGACAAAGACCATGTTATTTAACCATGTTTTTGTAATCAGAAAAGCAGTTGTCTCCATAAATATATGAAAAGTAGATGGAAAATGAAATCTTACTGGGAAATGCCAATTCTCACGAACAAATCTTATAAAGAATACTGAGTGATAACGATAAGGGTAAACAGGTCTGCTATTTGCAAACGTTCCTTTTTTTAGTAAAAGTGCCAACTTTTATAAATTTAATTTATGTTTTTACTTAAAATGTAACACTTGCACCATGTTCCCAGTGATCCATATATTATTGCAGTGCAGTAGAACGCAAAAATGTGACCAATCAAATTAAATTTTGAATATTTTTACTTGTTGAATCCAATAAAGTATATCAGTTTTCATTCACTAAGTTTTATAATTATTAAAATTTAATTTTTGAACAATTTTAAAACATTCATGCAATAAATCTCTTAATTATACATAATGAAAGTAAATACCGGAGGCAACATAGCTACCCATTAAACGTAAAGAAATATTTAAAAGAATTTGTTATCGTAAAGTTCATTTTTATTTCAGTATGAGTATTTCATCTCCGTTTTCTTTTTTTATTTTTGCGATGTGTTGATTCTTCGCCAGCAAAACAACATATATCTTGAGATCTAATTTAGTGAAAATTTAAAGAAAATAAATAATTATTTAGACAGGTATTGATATTCTCATTAATATGTCATACGAACTTCCAAAAAAGGACAAAAGTGTAAGAAGTTTGGAAGTAGTTACAGGTATGTATATAAACTAAGATACACATTTAGGAAATTCCATATACAAATATTTAAAAGACACTGCAAACCAGTGATCACAGGTAGAGGCGAGTGTGTGGTCCTGTCGCGATATCAACCCGGAAGTAAACAATAAAACGCATAGAAGACGTAGATAGTTCTTGATAACAGAGCTGTAGGTTTACAGTATATCAATATATTGGAAAACTGCTTCAGGTAAGGTCGACTTCTTTTTATTTTTCTCCATGATGAAATTGTACATCTATTTTATAATGAATTAAAATGAATGACGACTAAAAAAAAATTGTTGATTGCTCTGACAATCTTGAAATGTATGTTTAAAGATGAACGTATTTTCTTATTCTGACATTGATATAAAAAGCGGTTTTCGTTTCAGTTGAGTGCTTTTAATGAATCTCGAGAGTTTGTTATGTATGTTTCATGATTTGTTTACATCAAGAGGCAAGAGTTGTATATAATGATGAAAATTTTTATTTTATCTTAAATATAATTACTGGCGAAGTTGCAACCTAAAAATCATTGACAGCAAGACGCATAAAAATCGTGTACAACTAATGTGTAGAGTCTTTGACACTTCTGTTTATAAATTACGTAGCTTTAATTGAAATGCATTTTCATAAATTAGAATTAGAACCCATCACTTTAAATTTTTCATATATCTCTCAACCTGTGTTGTTTTTTTCCCAGATTTTAATTTAATGAATATGTTTCAAAATGAAATAGTAAATAATTAACAATTTATTTAAAAATACAAATTCAGTTATAAATAGTTTTCAAACTCTCGTTGTAATAGAATTTCCTTTCGAGTTAATTATACCTTTGGCACAACACCTTTTCTAATCGATATCAAAATGTCACGTTTTTAAGGAAAAAGCCAAGAATGACAGTGCAAGTTTATTCTGTACACATTAAGATTGCCTTTTTTCTTCGTCACTAATGTTTATCATTTTATAACAAGAATTTTACAAATAGAACAAGAAATATGTGAGCCAATGTTCACTAGTAATACCCCCGCTCTGATGTGAATAAACACTATCATGTCAATATATATACACAAGTTGAATTACTGGCAAAGAAAATATGAAGTTGACATCAGATTCACATCAAAATGAAACCCACTATGTAACATGTCTCAACAAACAGTGTACTAAAATTTCAAGCATCTGCGATGAGTCGTTACTGAGAAAACTGAGACGAAAATTTGTTATGTATGAAACAGACAGACACACAGACAAACCGGAAGTTGACATCGGATTTGAACAAAAATGTATCCCACCGTATTGCATGCCTCAGAGAGGATAGTATTAAAATTTGTAGCATCAACTTTGAGTAGTTGCTGAGAAAACTGCGCCGAAAATAGATTTGTTATGTATATATGAAACGAACAGACGCAAAGACAAACCGGAATTTGACATCCGATTTGAACAAAAATGTATCCGACCGTATTGCAAGCCTCAGAGAGGATTGTATTAAAATTTGAAGCATCTGCGATTAGTCGTTACTGAGAAAACTGAGACGAAAATTTGTTATGTATGAAACGAACAGACGCACAGACAAACCGGAGTTGACATCCGCTTTGAACAAAAATGTATCCCAACATATAGCACGCCTCAGAGAAGATTGTGTTATAATTACGAGCTTCTGCAATGAGTAGTTGCTGAGAAAATTGCGACGAAGAAACGGACAGACAGACAAACAGGAAGTTGACATCCGATTTGTACAAAAATGTATCCCAACGTATATGATGCCTCAGAGAAGAATGTGTTAAAATTTCAAGCTTCTGCGATGAGTAGTTGCTGAGAAAATTGCGACGAAAATTTGTTACGGACAGACAGACGGACGGACGGACAGACAGACGGACACACAAGGGTAAAACAGTATACCCCCTCTCCTTCGGAGCGGGGGTATAATGAATCTTTTATCTTCATTACCGATATGTTCTTATAGAGATACTTTTCGCGTTATAAGTTTTATCCATTTGTTACCAATACTTAATTGAACATATTTCTCAATGATTTTTTTTTATAAAATAGTTTTAATAACATATCTTTTTAATTTGATGGATCGGATATTCAGAACAATAACACAAATAGCATTTTGTTTAAATAAGTTCATGTGCCTTGGACAATCTTCAATTTTTTTTTCTAGGCGTCCTCTCAGCCGACTAAAAATGGCCTGACTCGATTTTTTTTTTTACATTCCATGACACAATATTTTTTATTCGTTTATTACTCTTATCCCGTCCACAGATGTATATTTTGGAAAAAAATCCTTCCCACCTACCGACCAAATTATTTTACCCTGGGCAAACAAAATATGGCTTTAAATAAAAAAAAAGTGATATAAGCAAAACTACCCTTTCGCCAACATTAAATGAAGCGTCACTGGAATGCAGTCTAGATAAATCAATACACAGTCTTTTAAATCATACAGTGAAAGATAAACCCTACCGATAAAAAAGTATGTTAAATAAGCTCGATGGAAATTTAAAGACGTCAACGGGTATATATACACAAACGATCTCATAGTCTAAAAAAAAACCCAGGGTAAAACCATGGTATAAAAATAACTGAAAAATTTTTACAGCAAAGTCCTGATTTTTTCCTACACCAGAGACATGGTTACCCTGGGAGTGATAGCAGGCTTATTTTTTGTGGGAGCCTTTATACTTCAACAGGGTAAGTCAAAAGGGGTGGACTGAGCAGAAAATGTCTATAAAATATTGAATTTTAAATACATTTATTCGGTGAATGCCTGTTGAAACTGTACGATGATTCGTATTGGGGGCGTGTTGATTTGAAGGACAGATGATACATGTACACACAAAAAAATGGATGTGTGAATTGTTATGTATTTTTGACCGGTGTAATTGTACATTACAAATACTGGTCTTATCCTATCTTGTCCCTTCTAAAATATAAAATCTAATCTAAAGTGTTCAATGTTTCACCTTTTCATAATTATCTTTATCAGCCTATTACCTTTTTCAACTTAAATCGCGTTATCGTGAAACTTTTAAAGAGAAACGAAAAGTCTGTGCGGTAAAACTTATTCCTTTTTTATATAACATTAGCTGTTATTATGATTTTTTTTCAAAATGAAAGTTGCTTGTATCATCTGTCAGTATTCCAATCTTCGATTGATATAAATATCAATGTGTCTCTAGAAAATAATATTTAGAAACAAGATTGCAATTTTTCAATTCATTTTCATAAAACTCTTTTCATTACCCTTTGAACTTTTGTCTCCTTTTAAGGAATATTCGGGACAATCATTAATTCTGATGTACTATCCGAAGGGACTTGTCAGTCGAAGGAATTGGGAATTTCAATTACGTTGGAATGCGACATTAAAAACATCGTATTCAACATACTTTCATATAATTTAGCAACCTGCCAGTATATTAATAATTACACGTTATATTGTCACACCGAGGATCCAGTGAAATATTTCCACAACAAAAGTGGGATTCTAACCATAACAACTCCATTTAACCACACTGTCCATGCAGGAAAAACGTTGTGGGTGAATACGACCTGTGTCAACAGCAGCGATGTCCAGGACAATATTATTCTCAAGCCTTGTCGTAAGTCTGCTTCTATCGATTTTTATTTTGATTTGAATGAATTTTTTTCAATTGTGAGTTTTTTTCAATGGTACACAAAATGTGTACGAATAGTCGTCGTCGCAAACCGCGGCTAAATCACATTCTGGCCGTGATTGAATGAGAAGAAAATATTTCATTGTTTATTAAATATTTACCAATGCTAGGAAAGCAAAGTCGGAGAATGAACTTTGACGCGATCTTTCAATTCCTATTAACAATATACGTTTGGGAACTGATGATGTCAGTTGTTAATTTCCATTGAGATGGAATCATATATTAATATTGGCTGAACATAACGTCAACATTTATTTCGTGTATTTTACCTATTCTTTTTCTTTCAATATAAAGTTTAGAATTCCTGGATCTAAAATAATTAAAATACTTACTTGTTCATGTCAAATTGTGATTCAGTCTTACTGAAATATGTTGCGATGAAGAGTGGATCTTTTCTGCATGGTCTAAGAATTGGGAGACACCAAAGATATTTGAGATGAAGTACGAGCTCCATTTCATTTTTTATTTTTTTCAAATTATGACAAAACATCTTTCTGAAACATATAAATAAACACATACACTGCAGTATTAATTCATTGCCCCCCCGTTTGAAAAATGGGGGATATTAATTTGGGTCTGTCCGTCTTTCTGTCTGTCTGTAACGCTTTCCACCACCATGCACCATGCATTGTGTAAAATTTTGACAATATCGAACGTAAATATAAATATGTATGTGACTTCACCTATTAAATATTGTAAAAACACAAATATTCGTGGGTGATTAAATTTCGTTGTTAACAATCATCAACAGAAATCTCACACGAATTTTAAAATGACTATATATTGAATGGAGATACTTTTTAAACAACCAAATTAAAAGTCCAGTAAACTATCATAGATAAAAAATTAACATTTCATCCCAACAAAAATGTGTGATGCTACAATAGTTCAAGTTTTATCAATAACGCTCTTCTTCCTTTTTAAATTGCACAGCCTTTGTTAGTTTACTACCCTTATCATAAAAATCTCCGGCGATTTCTGTTTTGTTACATGTAGTTAACATGCTTTCAAGCAAAAAGCTACAAGTAATTACTAACAGGAATCTTAGACAAATGATAAGAGAAGTTGACGTAAAATATGCATTATAACTATTTCTTTGAGAATTATTTTCTCTACTTATAATTCCTGTTGATAAACTCGGATAAAAGTGTGCATTTGTGCGTTTATGAATTTAAATATTTGTATTTGTTGCAATGCTTGCAAGCCTAAATACATATCTTTTAGTTTCCGAGTTTCAAACAATGGCGTACCATAACAACACACACGTTGGCATTTCCTGTGAGCATGCGTCCTACAGGTATTCCAACACAGGTATCCGCCTAGCTGTTGACAACGGCAACGATTTGGCACACTGCAGCTGGAACGGAACGAACAAGTGTCATGGGGATGCTGAAGGTACACATATTTATATTTACGTCATACAACAGGCACGTAGCATCGTTTTTCAAAGTGGGGGGGCCAACCAGAGAATTTTTTTTTACTGACCTGAAAGAGTTGACAAGGCAAAAAAAAAAAGAAAAAAACGAAAATTTATGTTGCCCAAAATCGAAAATCCTATTTCGTGGGGGAGGGGGGGGGGGGGGGGGGGGTAGCGTCCAACTTTTTCGAAGCAAAGTTACTATCACTTCTAATTTTTTCCCTACAAACCTTTATATCACTATACTATGGTATACAAAAGGTCTTAAGAGCGACAGATTAATCGCAGATTATGCGTGCTTTGCAAATGTCAGTGAAGACGAATAAAAATCAAAGTAATCAGAGGTACAGAGAGCCGGGTTCATTTACAGAGTAGAATGGATTTCTTACATGAATCACGTTTATATATGACGAAAAAAATATTTTGAAACTCAACATCCTGCCTTGAACAAGATCACATAAGCCTGGAATTGCTCTTTGAGCAATGAGCAATAAGCCCGGCTAAAAAAAGGTTTCGCAGTTTGAGCTCGGAGGAAAAAGTATCCATCCTGAGTTTTGCCGAATGCAGAAAATTTGCTAATTATGAACTATCTGCTACTTCGAAGAGTTGGGCAGCTAAATACTAGTATATCGTTATGTAAATGCCAAAAGAATGTCTCATGTTTTTATCATGCATCCTAAATAATAGCTGCCGTTTCATTCAAACAGGAAATCCAAAGATTATGATTGTCGAATTTTGAATTGGATTAAATTCTATTTGAGAATTTGCAGCACATATTGACATACAGCAATTTACTTAAGTCGTAGATTTTCAACACATACATGTACTTGGCACTCATGAAAATCAAGCAAGACTGGTTCTTTATCATGCCAATACTTACTGTCCTTAAAGTACGTACCCGTCAATTTTTTTGCCGGGAGTAAATATAAACAATATACTCTCCATTGCCAAGAGTTAATATAAACAATATACACTCTATTGACAAGATTTAATATAAACAATATACACTCTATTGACAAGATTTAATATAAACAATATACACTCTATTGACAAGATTTAATATAAACAATATACACTCTATTGACAAGATTTAATATAAACAATATATACACTCTATTGACAAGATTTAATATAAACAATATACACTCTATTGACAAGATTTAATATAAACAATATACACTCTATTGACAAGATTTAATATAAACAATATACACTCTATTGACAAGATTTAATATAAACAATATATACACTCTATTGACAAGATTTAATATAAACAATATACACTCTATTGACAAGATTTAATATAAACAATATACACTCTATTGACAAGATTTAATATAAACAATATACACTCTATTGACAAGATTTAATATAAACAATATATACACTCTATTGACAAGATTTAATATAAACAATATACACTCTATTGCGAAGAATTTAGCGACGAGAGGCTTCTAAACTTAAGGTTTCAGCTTTGATACAAAGCTGTGAATGAAGAACTCGTTTTAAGAGAGACATTTAAATTGCTTACGATGCAAATAGGGCGACAAGGTATACATCACTGTGGCAACGCACTATGTAAAAATTACGCACTTTGAAAAAAAAATTAAAGTGCGTTAAAATTGGGACAAAGTCAACTCACTTTGAAAAAAAATGCCTGCATATACCCCCCCCCCCCCCCCGACCCTTCCCGGTACTGATGCCTATGCTACACCCAAATATATGATTTACATAACTGGTATGACGTTGAAAAAATTCATTAAATTTAAGTAACATAAAATGCATGCAAACTGGAAAAAAATTAAGTACAGTAAAGCATTTAAGAGGAAAGTATGGAAAAATCACAATCGCCCACTTTCACATCCTGAAGTGACCTTATCACAGAAGAGTAATCAAACAGATTCAATAATTTATCATACCCAAGATTTGCAAGAATATTGACCAAGCCATACACATTTTTTCAAAGTGAGTTAATATGGTCGATATTAACGCACTTTGAAAAGAAATTTTATTTTTTCAAAGTGCGTTATAACACAGGCAGCACCAAAATTTTTCGGACATAAACAAAAATTAATAATGAACTTTCCACAAAAAATATTAACTTTCCTTTATTTTTATAAGCAGTGAGGGTTTCTCCTTATTTTTCAATTACTTAACATTATCATATGTTCTTAAAAACATACATTTAAAAAATTGCACAAACATTCCCTGCTGACGCATTTGAAAAAAAAATCAATAAAATTACGTTTGAATGCTTTGAATCGCTGTATGAAACTTGCATGCATATTGTCCCTAGTTGAGTCTACTTATTTTACGAATTTTAATCCAATGAGGATTTAATATCTATCATTCGGTCACGGTTGTCTAGTTATAGCATTTGCGAAGCAATGTTTAAGAAATTTCATTTTCGTTTATCATAAATAACATGAATATTTAAAGTATAAAATAACAACGGCATTCTTAATAATTTTACGTCAAAGCGTGGCGAAAAGCTCTCTTTGTTCAGTTTTGTATGTTCAATTTTATTAGTCTGTACACTTTTGATTAGTGAGTACAGACTGACAATACCGAGACCTCTAACAAATGTTAACCAAGAACTTTATTCCCTTGGATCGAAAAATGCTGGGATCTTTCGATCCCGGCATTGCACGTTTCTAATGATCAAATAAAAATTATATATGTAATTTTACGTGATTTGCTACAGCAGCATGTGTCTTATATCATTATTCGAAAGTTTGAGAAAATATGGGTTCGAATACTTCAAGGTGTTGGTAAAATGATGGCGATTGTTTTAAATTTACCTTATTATAACTCCTTTGTTAAAACTGTAGTACCTTGTGGTCAATATAGATGCCATGGAAACGTTTATTAATATAAAAGTATACTTGCTACTCTTACATATTTGTAATTTTAAATTTAAAAAAAACAGACTATAGTTTAAATTGAATAAAATTTGCTACTCTTACATATATGTTATTTTAAAAAAACAGATCACGGTTTAAATTGAATAAAATCTTCCTTGTCAGTGCCGTTTGCAATGCTGGCTCTTAAAACTTTAAAAAATCATAAACTGTCAAAAATTCTTCAATGTATTCATGTATTACATGTAAGTTGTCAAACAAGCGCTTGAGAATTTGAATAAGAAATGATGACGGATTAATATTTCTTTTAGCTCTGAACAATGGGTTGAGGTATACTGCTCTGTATACCAAGGGGATGAATTTTACCTGCAAATTCGACGGTCAGTCAGTGAATTTTGTTCCTCAACTACTATCAACAATAAACACAACACCTTCCTCCGCCAGACCAACATGTACGGCAAGATTTACACTTACAAATTAAAATCAATGATTCTTTTTAGATGTTTATAGATCTTTAAAAATAAATTTTGAAAGACTCGTAATATTTGTTAATGGTAAAAGGCTGAAACATAATTATGAAACTGAGCAATTGAACAGAATTAATCGAACGTATTTTTTATTGATGCGTAAAGTTAGTGATTTGAAAAAAAAATTTTTTGGTCTTTGCAGCGAGTACACCTTCATCACAGAGCCAAGAGAACGGATCCACGGCCAAAGATAACGGACAAACGAAAGTGACCAGTCCCTCTTTGATGATCTTTATTTTGTGTATCTTGTATTTTCTTCAAAGAGATGTATTCATTTGAAAATTGACCGATCACAAAGATGGAATTTTATACATCCCTCGTGATGTATACGCCTACTCATGATAATCATAATAATCGTGGAGTCATTATGCTGTCGAACCCTTTTCAGTTGATTCAAGAGGTTAAACTGAATATGAAGAGAGGCAATCTGTATATGCAAGATTCCTCTTACAGAGAAGACGATGAGAACCTTGCCCGGAGAGAAGAGTCCATTCATCAGCTGATAATGGAGCATCAATATTACATGAAATTGATTATGTCGTTCACTTGTAACACCGAGTTTGATTAGACACTAGTTTAAAATAAAGATAGCTTTCATATTCTTTCTGGACTTATATTTTTATTTTATTTTAGGTAAGCCAATCTCTCGCGTGATGAAATTACATAGTGAGTGTCAAGAACAGTCTTAGGAGAAGGAGAAGGAGAAAACAAACAGTATTCAATCTCAAAGTCCATAAAACAATACAAAAAAAGAGCAGAGTAAACACGGGCCTCCTAAACATCAGCGGTGGGATCATGTGCCATGGAGGAGTAAGCATCACATGCTGACTGGTCACACTCGTCGTGTGCTCCTTGTCATGATAAAAAATAACGGAAAAATGAAGGATATGGAGATAACGAACAGTATTCAATTTCAAAGCGGAGCAAACACGGACCCCCGAGACATCAGAGGTGGGATCAGGTGCCATGGAGGAGTGTCCATCCCCTTCCGACCGGTCACACCCGCCGTGTGCTCCTTGTCATGATCAGAAAATAACGAAAAAATCCGTCGTCAATTCAGTGTATAAATAATTGACTAACAATTGGTTTGAAAAACGTCAGTCAGCATTTGAATCAATGATAATTGTATTTGCTGACAAGGTCATTGTATCGACCATAGAACTTACGAAATGATGATTTTAAACGAGACTGCTGATATTCTTGTTGCATCAACTTGCTTGTTAATAATTTACCTCGTTTTAGAAATTGTTCATACGTAGAGCATGCTCTTGCGTATCGAATCAACTGAGATATATATATCTCCGTATGCAGGTGATGAAGGTATACTCTGCATAAGTAAGGGAAGTTGACGATAGAAAAGTTAAAGTCATCACGTTTATCATATAGCTTGGTTGTTAGATTACCATTAGTGTCTTTTTCAAGTAAAATATCCAAGTATGAAGCAGAAGTGTAGGACTCTGTGGTATCTTTTATCTCAAGCTCACTAGGATATATCGTATCGACGTAGGAATGGAAATTATCATTATTAATTGACAATACGTCGTCGATATATCTAAATGTCGAGTTGAAGGCCACAGCAAGTGTTTTCTTCTTTCACGAATAAGATTTTGCACCAAATACAAGCATGTAGTGGAAAATGATGTGGGACAGACTGACAAACAAACTTCATCGGTAGGGTAATAAGATAGGTATTGTAAGTCGTAGATCATTATAATCTGTCATTCTGATAAATGAAAAGAAAAATAGCCCAAAGAATTGAATGAAAGAAATTTTACATTTCCCATGGAATAATACGTATTCTTACATTGTAGAGATGAACTTAACTTACAGAACGCATCAACTCCATACAGGACAAGGACGAAGAAACATGTCAACACCTTCTTCATATTGATACCAATCAATACTGACATAAGGGGAGAAAAAAAATCAGCTGCGCCAAGTTTAAAATTTAAAACACAGATGATTGATTGATTGTATACTGTTTAACGTCCCTCTCCAGAATATTTCACTGATATGGAGACGTCACCATTGCCGGTGAAGGGCTGCAAATTTAGGCCTATGCTCGGCACTTACGGCCTTTGAGCAGGGAGGGATCTTTATCGTGCCACACCTGCTGTGACACGGGGCCTCGGTTTATACGGTCTCATCCGAAGGACCGCCCCATTTAGTCGCTTTTTACGACAAGCAAGGGGGTACTGAGGACCTATTCTAACCCGGATCCCCACGGGATGTCGCGGCCATAAGTGCCGAGCATAGGCCTAAATTTGCAGCCCTTCACCGGCAATACATGACTACCTTTAAATTCAGCACCATAACCATTATAATAATACTTGATATCAGGATAACTTAGCGAAACTCTTTGGCGAGGGAGGTAGGAAACGTCTGTTGGATGGAGGTAAATGTGCTAAAGAATACAATGCAAGATCGATCATTGTAGAATTAATAAGGACAGTTAAGTAGAACATTATGGTAGAATACCTTGTTAAACCTTGCTGAACCAGCCTAATGAATTTTTTAGAGGAGTTAATCTTTAAATGTTCCAATTTTTGCTATATTTTTAACTAAACAGACTCTTCTCATAAAATTTTCATTGTACTTTCGGCATAAAATTGTTCGAATCATTCGATTGTTATTACCGTAAACAATGTCATGTGCCCCAGAAATCTCGCTAGATTTCGAGTTTTCTCGATTCACCCACAAAATAGAGGTAGTAAGTTAAAACTGCGGGGTACTCACGATATTACGTATTAAAATAAAGATTTGCCAATATCTCTGTTAAATTTTAAACTTTATTTTTTAGAAATGTGAAGCTCCACCATCCATCCTGACTGGCAAAGTCATATGACAAGGATGAATTGGGATTTTCCCTTATGATTGAACAAGGAGAAAACTTTGAGCATCTTAATGTGCCGATGAACTTGGTCACCAAAGCTCTTCACTGTGAACAAAATGCAGCTGAAAAAAACTCTTGCAGGAAAAATTCCATTCAACTGCGAAATTAAAACACTGAATGGAAATGTACAGGACTTTTCTACTGCTTAAATCATCATAGATGAGGTGAAATGTACATATGTATGTACATATGTATGATAAAAAAAAACATTCACATTGTGTGCAGCTAGAACGATTGTAGAACTTATTTTGATTATGCTGTGAATTATCTATTACAATTCCTTAAAAAAACAGCATGTGAAAGTTTCCTTGCATATTTAAACATACATAAATATGTACAATTATCTGGATAAAAAAGAATTTTCAAACGTCATGAACATTAAGGTGTCCACATACATGTATTATTAAATAAATTTATTATTGCTATATGTTCCTTTTCTGCTTTTAATTTAAACATTGCAACATATGTTTACTGTATGCATCTCTTGTTTGAACAGTTTTTTTGTTATTGGAAAATTTGTGATTGCAACTTTTCATAAGTATTGAGAATTAGGTTAAAATTTGTGAAAGTGCAAGGGTGTGTCAATCAAACCCGCCACATGCCGTTTTATGGTTTAGTTCGTAGTTTTGTAACAGGGTTGATGGTAAATAACGAAAACACCTGTCAGGGTTCGCACTGTTTAATAATCGTAGTGATAGTAATAACATCTATTATTGCCCTGAAATAAATAATAACAATATTGAAAATATCATAAAATCATAAATGCACAATTCAATATTATACACAATGCTGCATAAAGGGAGGTAACTCCTACATTCATTACACACAATATAATACTCCCTTAGAATTTACACTTTGTGCATACAATTAAAATACTTTACAACAAAATATATATTACTATTAAAGCTATAATATCTTCATAGACATTATGTACCTTTTTCTTATAAACAATAAATCGTAAAAACAATAGCATACATTCTGAGGGAATAGGCAAGCTCCCATGGTTTAATATCATACAAGCCAGTAGTATAAGGCTGGGAGTCCAGACGATAACTATAAATTATCATAAACCTTATATAATTCTCTGATCATAAAACATATGTACATATTATCTGGATCATAAAAATACCTTTAACTTTGCTGCTAATAACTAAGTAAAAATCTGACTTCCAAAATCTCTCTTACTGTGCAAAAGTGCTATGGAAATTAATATTGCAAGAATTATAGATTTCACATTTAATGAACTATATATTAAAGATATGTTAAAGTTAGTAAATAAATATTAACTTATTGGATGGATTGAGTGCATAATTGGTAACAAAATAACATGATTGAAAAACGAGATGTCATCGTTTTTTCTAGAGTTAACGTTCCTTATTTCTTACACAGTATGTCATTTTTTCTTCAATCTAAATTCATGTAAAATGTAGAATGTAAACTCGATCAAGAAAAGCATGTTCTAGATGCATATAATTTCTAAATATGAAAATAATTCTTTAAAAAATGAAAGCAATTTACAATTGAAGGTACAAGGATACCAACATCCCTGTAAAGTCAATACTTCGCAAATTCTACTGTAGATACAAAAATCTGTCTGTAAATACAATGTATCATTTCGTTTAATGTAGACTGAAGTGTTCATACAAATTGTTAAGTCATAATATTTTTACACGGAATTGTCTACGGGTCCTTTTTCCGTTTGCCCTTTCAAATCAAAAAGCACCCAGCGGGTGTGAGCAATTGACAAGGGATGCTTACTCTTTAATGTTCCCTGATCCCACCTTTTTATTGTATTAAGACAGTGTTTATTTGCTCAATATATATTGTTTCGATGACTTTATGTAATTGTTCATTAATTTAATAATTTTTACGCATATGTTGAAAAGTAAACATAATGACCATAAACATAATTTGCATTTTTGTCAGCCTTGAATTATATTAAATATGTTTTAAGTTTTGCCCCCAATAAAATTTGTTTTAATGAACCCAATCAACCTAAACAATTTTAGCTAGAATGCTGTTATCTTCATATTTTGTACGCATATATTGAAATGTCGTCGCATTCACGTATTCTACAATTTTCAGTCTACGCAGGTATCTTAACGTAGGTTGCAGGTTTGCAGGGCTTTAAAAAGTGTCCGAAAACATACCATGGAAATTATCTATATGATTTCTCTACTTTTGATTTCCATTCTCTGAAAATTTTATAAAATTCGTCTGCACCGTTTTTTGTGTAATTGAATTCCAAAGATGTCATTGTTGTAGTAACATTTTCGACATTATTCCATTGAACTGTATAGCTAGGAAAAACGTCGTTTTCGGCTTGTTTTCAGACAAGGTTTTGATTTAAAAAAAATTCAATAACTTTTAAATTGTGCAGACGAATTTGTTTATCCTTTGGTATTTAAACTATAATTAATTTGAAATAAATATATGTGAATAAACTAATATGTCTTCGGGTTCATTTTCTCGTAATTTAATTGTAAATAATTGCCTTTATATTCAAAATTGTAGCATTTTTAAGAACGACGTCATAAAATATTGCGACGTCGCGCTTGACGTCGTGAATGTCGATCCGGTATACATAGCAAAAAGAACCAGAGGTACTGTGAGCAATGAGCTCGCTGAGTGATACCCCCCGCCTCCCATAATGTCCATGTGTTGCTATTTATTATTTTACGGTAATGTGGAAAGAGGAATAACTCGTCCTATCAAATGTTATCCAGAAGCCTCTATATGTGACGTCATAGTTAAACGTATAATGGCAATGTCCATGTTTTGCTATGGGAAACCTAAAATACGTGTCCAATAAAAAAGTAAAATAGGAGGTGCACAATGGCAATATGTAATAAAGATTCTGTGAAAGTTTCATTAAACTTCACTCAGTAGAGTTGCGGATAAGAGATAAACGTAACAGACGAATGGACGGAAATCCCGATTACCATATACCCTCCCACTTTTCAAGCGGGGGTATAAACAAACAAATTATACTGATTAAAAAACGAAATTCACGTCTTTCTGCTTTCAAATGACCAACGTTATAATTCAATAAACCAATAAAACAATTATTAGACATTTTTCTGTTTACGTCTAATATTAGTGAAAATTCTCGCAAGAGGCGTAAACCAACAATCAGTCCTTTAATTTCTTTTATTTCTATATTTTCTTTCTGTTGATTTCTTATCGTTTCTTTTCTTTTTGTTTTGTTTTCTTCATGCACGGCTTCTTGTCAGATTTGCAAAATAAAATTGGCCTTGTATTCCCATCTGGAAAAGGCAGACCCCCCCCCCTACGCTTTGAAATCGCAGATATTTGGTAAGTTTGTCTAAAAAGTCACAGGTACTAAGATAATTTAGATGTCAAGGACTAACACCCCTACCTCCCGCGAAAAATGTTTTTACGTTTTGTTTTATTTCTTTAAATTAATTTGAAAGAGTATATTTTGATCCCAAATTTGATTGGCTTAAAACCTGTATCTAAAATTACATGGGAAAAACTTCATAGTGTTTTTATGGTAAATAAGACTTTATGAATTTTTTTTTTATTCAATGCACTTTTTAAAATATGGATTTGAATTTTTAAACCCATTCATTTTTTTTATTTTGCTCTTTACCAAGATTAGCACATACCGATTCATAACTGAGTTCGACTTTCCGTCGACGAGCAGAGTTTTGACGCTGTTTACGGAGATTTAAGAAAACGAAGACAAACAAGCCATATATGGTTGTGTAGATAAATTATCGTAAATGACACAGGTATAAACAGTTTGCCACTGCCTTATCGCTGAAAGTGTAAATGAGCGCGATTCTAATGGAGGGGGGGGGGGTACTCGTGTAAATTGGAGTTATATACCTTATGTTATTATTATAATATGGGTCAAAAATTTATTACAGAAACAAGTACCTTTCTAGTCCATATCCCATATACAGTAGTAGTGACACTAAAGTGTCATACATGTATTTCAATAAAATATACAAGGCCACCAATTCCCTCAAAATGCACTCATAAAATATTCTAGCTATAAAATTACCTATAACGTGCATTCAGACCTTAGGTTTCTCTTTTGTTTGGACCGGTACTTTATTCGAAACTATCCTCTGCTACCTTGACAGTTTTCCCAGAATGCACGACCGTGAAGCCGAGCATGTGTACTCCAGAAATAGAAAAGATGAGTTTAGAGATGTTGTAAGACTGATCCGATTAACACGCAGCAACATTATTCGGATTACCAATAGTAAACAACACAGCACTTAATAATCTTTTTTGATCAGCTGACATGTTTCTATTATATGTTTTCAGTGACGCTTCACATCTGTGGCCGGACATAAACATGATGTGTCTAGCCTGAATCAAGCATCATTCAGGAATGAAATGGCCGTGACACGTAAGCAGTGGAGAGTGTAGCTGTTTTGGCACTTCCGACCTTACACATATCTCGTATGAAACCCCTAAAAGATTGCTTTTTGAGAGGCTTAGCGGAGTATGAAATATCACATGTATATGGAGAAAACAAAGCATATTTCACACAAGCATTGAAGTGGTTTGTTGCTTGTTTATCTGTTCTAGAGAAGAGAAGACGAAGCACTTGCCGAAGGACATGTAGGGCTCTCGGGAACAGCATAACATCGGAATGGTTCTTACATGTACCCTTGCCCGTTTTGCCTATTCGATCTGTCTTGCTCCATAAAACAAATGCCAGTTGGAGCTTCCTCACTACTGAGGCCTCCTTGAAAGTTCTTGTGTTTGGTCGTGTGTCTGAGAACACCAGACTCCTCACTATCCTTATCATGAAGAAAATCAAGGGAATGAAATTCCAACCCATGAGATACAAAACGGACGGACAGAGGTTAAATCTCACTCAAGGTCGGAACACTAGAGGAGAAAATTGGGCAGCTTGAAGTACAATGTCGAATGAATTTTTTAAGATCATCAGAAGTGATAATAGATTTGGGTTGAGTTGGACGTGATGCACCCGTCTGTGTCCTGAATTTTGTCATTCCGTCCAGAGTGTGGTTCGCTGGCTTAGATTCTTTGTCACAAACAATGTCGATGTTGCGAAATGGGTCTTGCAGGTGACGATTTATAGCTGAACGCAAATTTTTTAGTGTGTTTTTGTGATAATATTCTACTTGAATAGATGCATATTCTCATTCTTACTCGCGGACTCTTTGGGCTTGGCTTCACAGTAGAACTTGCGTAAATGATTTGCTAGGACATCGACAGAAACGGTTTCCCATGTCCATTAACTCATTGTAAACTTCTGTGTGCCAGTCTAAATGCAAAATAAATAATTTTTTACAGCTTAACTATTATTTCTTTCAATTCACACTGAATTATGAAAATGCTCCAAACTCCCCCCTTCCCTTTCCCCTGTTGTGATTTTGTAATTTTTATTAATTGAAAAACCTTGAAAAGGTTTGATTGCGCATTTTGTGTTTTTCTTGGTTAATTTTGATTGTCTAGAATCTTGAAACTGCTATAAAGGAGCTTAATGTTTTCTTGGGTTCAGCTGGAGTCTCTGGCTTTCGGAGGCAAGTCAACACTGGCTTAGCTAACTGATTATTCCTCAGGCCAATGTTAGGAATGCCAGAAACAACCTCAAGTTTGATAAGTCAGGGTTTTCTATCAAAAAACAGTAATAATTCTTCAGTATTCGCTTCTCCACTCACATAAATATCTTCATACTTTGCCATTTTTGAGTGCATATTTACATGTTCAGTAAAAAACAGATGAGTGTGCTCAGATGAGTGTGCTGAAGTACCAAACTACTTCGAGTTGAACATCTTTACTGAGAATTTTTTTCAAGATATGTCATTTCAAATGTGTAAAGAATGATAAATGCTTCAAAAGAAGCTCATTATTTATCAATATATCATGTTTGAACACTGTGGCCTACTTTTACATGTTTACATATTCCACATGTAGATATTAATGCGCCATGTGATTCGGTCGCACTATGACCTCTGACCCCCAAATAAAATTCAGACAGAATTGAACATATTTTCTCACCAATAGGTTTATCTAAGAAAGATATATTTATGTAAATTATTTTCAATTTCTTGCACCATTGTACATGTAAATGGAATTCAAGTAATAAGCGGTAAAAATTAATATTTATTAAATCAATATTTGATCATCGCAGGCTTACGGAAGGCAAAGTACTTGAGCCCTCCATAAAGGGTTTCCATGCACGGCACCTAACAAAGGAAATTTAAGAAACCCTAACTTCGACCTGTAATTCTTATCTATGGTGAAAGGTAAATTAATCACATGTGAAACAGCATCGCCTTTAAACCGATATGCGGGAGGTATGTTTGGTTCGTTTTGATAATATTAAGTTTGAATCAACCAATAACCCACCAGAATCCAATGTTTTGTCCAGTTATAAAAAAGTAGGTCGACAGTTAATTGACAGTAAGAGATTACACTTTTTATATCGGCGATTTGTACTACCAGGGCTTCAGGTAAAATCCAATTTTAAATCATCTTATTTAAATACCTTAAATAAATCTACAGCCTATTTACTATTATGTTTAAACCAAATTGCTGACAATTTTTTTTTTATAACATTAAAGTGACTAATTGCAAAGTTGATCCTTGTGTGCCACAAAATCTATGATCAAAGAATGAAACCTCTAGACTTCCTTCATTAAAAAATATATTCATGTATATTGTACGGCCTAATAGCTCATATATTTAGTTCTGATTTCAATACTTGGACTTTGAAGTTTCAAAATACGTGGCATCTCTATGGTTCCAATTCTTACCGGATATTTTAAAAATTAAATTCATTGAAGTGTGTGAAAGTATTTTAACAAATTCCATTATCATAGGTTTCAAAACAAACTTCTAAGGCAAATTACTAATCTCAGTCGTTATTGAGAGTCATGATTCAATGATTTTCTTTCGCAAAGCAATTTTAAACACTTTTAAAGCACCAAAATTTTTATTATTATGTTATCAAGATTAAACGCAATCATTGTTTATCACTCCAAAATATGCCAATTCATTTTCCTTACCGTACAATTTTCCCTCAATCAGCTATGTGATTTTGTTTAAGTATTTTTTTTTCTTGGAACAAGATAAATTTTCTATCAGTATGTGGAAAAACATGCGGATCTAGGTATAATTATAGCAACTTTATTACAATTTTGTTTGAATATTACATGGTAAACAATATAATTACAATATACTTCTTCAGAAATATGGAATAACAAATAGAAGTCAATTAATTTAATTGCCCCCTCAAAATTTAAACCATCGTTTTTTTATGAATAGTCAAAAACTCGCGCAGTTTTGTTGTACACTTCTTATGTAAATTCTACAAATTATGTCATAAGATTCACTTCTCCCTCGGCTAATTGTGGTAAACTAAGGAGATAAAAAATAAATGAAGTGATGTGTAGGAAGCTAGGTAACGACATTACAGAATGTCTTATCAAAGTGAAATGGAAATTATTTAAATTTTTGATGTTTAATTTTGTATAAAAATATGTCCGAAGATAATTATCGGCCCTTCAAGTTTAGGTCAGATTCGAATTGTCAGTCATTCAGACCTTTTACAAATAAACTCGTATCTCCCTTTAATCCCATCTTTAAAAATATAAATTGAATGATTGTTTGAAGGAAAAAATTAAAATACTGCAGGACGCAGCTTATTGTAGTCAAATTATCAGAATTGAATTGAGCTGACAAAGCATCCAATTCTTTAATTACGTTAATTTTAAATCCATATACATTACCCAAATAAAGGATTTTTATGTAGGTATTCTGTTACTGTTTTTTATTTCAGGTGATATTAATATATATTGAAGGGCTTGCATGAAGTACAATAATGATATCGTTAAAACATCAGGGATTCAGGGTTTAGTAGAACAATGAAGTAATGCATTTATGCAGTGTGACTTTTTGGATGAAGTTGAATTGTTATGGTTTGAAAGTTTCAAATTCTCTTCACTTTTTATTTAAAAGGTTTTATAAATTGATTAAAAAATTTATTGACAATGAAACATTTTATCCTGTTCCCAAAGACCCATATATTTTGTATATATATATTTACTTTAAATGCAATAGAACGCAAAAATGTGGCCAATTAATTTGAATGTTCAAGTTTTTTACTTGTTGAATCCAAGAAAGTCAATCAGTTTTCCTTCTCTAAAGCTTATCTTTATCTAAATTTAATTTTTGAGCTCTATTTAAACATTCATGCATTAAATCTCTTAATCATACATGATGAAAGTCATCAGCGGAGGAAACATACGTAGCTACACATTTAACGAAAAGAAATGTTATCAGAAAGTTCTTTTTTCAAAAAAAGTATGTTTTCTTATTTTTGCGATTTTTTTGGCTACCAAAACAACATATATCTTGAGATCGCAAATTAGTACAAAGTAAAAGTAAAGAAGAAAAATAATTTAAACAAGTATTGATATGGTAATGATTTTCATTCACATGTCATGTGATCTTCCAAAACAAGACAAGAATGTCCGAAGTTTGGACAATAGTTACAGGTGTATATATACATAAAGTGAGATAAACATTTAGGAAATTCCGTATTCAACCATTTAAAAGGCACTGTAACCCAGCGATCACAGGTAGAGGCAATTGTGTGGTCCTGTCGAGTGTCAAACCCGGAAGTAAACAGTAAAACGCATAGAAGAGGTAAATTTCATTGATAACAGAGCTGTAGGCGTGTCAGTAAATTGGAGAACTGCTTGAGGTAAAGTCTTAATTTTATTTATCTCCATGATGAAACTTAACTTTTATTTTAAAATGAATGACGATTTAAAAAAGTGTGGATTGCTCTGAAAATCTTGTAAATGTATGTTTAAAGGTGAATGTAATTTCTTATTCTGACATGGATATAAAATGTCCTCTGCGTTTCAGTTGAGTGCTTTTAATTACACAAAAAATATAAATAAATCTCAAGAGTTTGTTTTGCATTTTCTGGCTTTGTTTACGCGAAGAAGTGTATATTATGATGAAATTAAATCTTAAATACAATAACAGGCAAAGTTGCGGCCTTAACAATCATTGACAGTAATCGTCAAAATTTTGTATAACTATTATTATTAGACCTTGTGTAGTGTCTTGACTTGGACACTTCTGTTCATAACAACTCTGTTTTTTTTTTATTAATGCATTTTCATGAAAAAAATTTAACCCATCATTATTTATTTCTTTTTTATCTCGTATCTGTGAATTTCCTCAAGTTTGTTTTTTTTTCACACTTTTTAAATTAGTAAGAATGTATTTACTATATCAAAATGAAACGGTAAATAACGATTTATTCAAAAGAAAAAATACAAATTCAGTAATAAATAGCTTTCCAACTCTCGTTGTAATGGAATCTCCTTTAGTGTTAAAAATACCTTTGGTACACCACCCTTTTTAATCAATATCAAAAATGTTAAGTTTTTGAAGACGTGCCAAGAATTGGAGTGGACGTTTTACTTTGCGTAAATTAAAGGTGTCTTTGCTTCTTTCCCTTCGCAAATTTGTCAGTATTGTATATTAGTTTATGTAAGAATTTTACAATTAATATAAATGTTTTATATTTAATACTGGGTTCTTATTATAGGGATGCTTTTCACAATTTAAGTTTTATCAGTTTGTTACCAATACTTAATCGAGCATAATTCTCATTCATATTCTTACAAAAAAACGTTTGATAAACATTTTTACCTCTACTGGTCAGAGACCAGAAGAGCTAATGCGATAGTATTGTGTACGTCGTCCGTCCGTCAGTCTTTCTTCTGTAAATATTTTTTTTCAATATCCTACTCCTACAATTTTGGTCTGATTTCAATATAACTTGGCACACAAGTCGACTACACTCAGATACATAATTTTGTATATCTTTTTTTTTTTGGTTGCGATGAACCAAGTTGCCGTGTTTACTAAAAAATATAAATTTCTGTGAAATACTTTCAAAATGCTACTCCTACAGTTTTGATCTGATTCAAATATAACTTGCCACACAAGTTGAATACACTAGGATACATAATTCTTTTTATCGGTTTTTGATTTCGATGAACGGTGTTGTCATGGTTACCTAAACTTGAAATACTTTCAAAATGCTACTCCAAATACAGTTTTAGTCTCGTTATAATGTAAATGTAATTTGGCATACAAGTAGACTACACTGTGATTCATAGATTTGATTTTCCATTTTTGATGAATGGTGTTGCCATGGTATTAAAACATAATCAGTGATAATTTGTTGAATTTTCGCAGATATTGTATACATTGGTTGTAGTATGTCCTTGTTGCCAAGGACGGTACCAAGTTTTGATGCCCATTATATAAGTTTTGTTTATTGAAATCAACCTGTTGATGTGTGTATAAAACAGACATCGGTTGCTGTAAATTTCACATATTTCAGTTAATATATCTTTGGGATATTAACAAGTTTTACAACTGCTTAAATGAAGAGTTTAATTTTACTCTAGTTTATTGAATCTTTACCATTCACTTTTAATTCAGTGTATCGACTAGCCCTCGTTTTCCAGCTTCCAACAATGAAATAATGCGATCAAAAGTGGTCACATCAACTGTTATGAATTAATTTAAGATTCAATAATGAGAGAAGCTTAATGTCATATGATTTGTATGTTGTATGTCATCGAGCTACTGACATTATTTATTGAACGTCCCTCGTAAATATTTTCTATGCATCGGTTTTTGATTTCGATGAAAGGTGTTGCCGTGGTTACTAAAAGTAGACTGTGAAATGCTTTCAAAATACTACAGTTTTGGTCTGATTACAGTATAACTTGGCACACAAGTAGACTATACTAAAAGGCATAACTTTGTGCATCGGGTTTTTTCATTTCAATGAAAGGTGTTGCCGTGGTAACTAAAAATCGAATTTTGTGAGATGCTTTCAAAATGCTACTCCTTCTACAGTTTTGGTCTGATTGCGATATAACTTGACGCTTTCAAAATGCTACTCCTTCTACAGTTTTGGTCTGATTGCGATATAACTTGACACACAAACTGACTACACTAGGATACATAATTCTCTGCATCGGGTTTTGATTTCGATGAACGGTGTTGCCGTGGTTACTAAAAATAGAAATTTCTGTGCTGATTTCAATATAACTTACCACACAAGTAGACTATTTTCACACGGTGTTGTACCTAAACGGTTGCTATCAGAAAAAATAGCGCGTTCTTTACTGCTATCCGAAATTTGAGCGGTTGCTAGTGGAAAAAAATGGACGAAATTGTAAGTGTTTTTCTTCGCTGGCTCTACAAAATGGTTAATAATTCAATTATTAAAGTTTAGCTGCTTGGTATTTCAACCTTACGGAACGCAACATAACTTTTAAAACTAACGTGTATATTTAGAATTTCAATGAATTAAAGGATTGCTTATATACAAGACGAAAAATGTCGAAAGCGTTGATAACATTTACATGCACGTAAGAAATATATTGAAATTACGTCAAAATTTTTAGATATTTGTTAAAAGTGAATCGACAGTTCGTTGTGTATTTGTTAATGTTATTGGTTATTTTATAACATTGCCCTCTCTGATTGGTTTCTTAAAATCTAGAGCGTTTTTATTAGGAGAAACTTATGTTACGGCTACTATTAGACAACAGCACCGGTTACTATTGGAAAAGGTTTAAGTTTTCAAATTTTATGAAATCACATCCTCAATTTACATCTGTTATGCAATTATAGTTAAGGAAACTGTATTCTAAATGTTCCTTCTATATTCTTTCTAAATGATTGACTTGCCATGTATGTTACTTTCGATCTTATGTTTATATGTATGACTTGAAAAGTGGAGTTTCTATGTACATGCACACTGTACACATATGCGTCGGAACGGGGAGGGGGGGGTCTTAGCCTTCCCACTTTTTTTGTAAAGATACATGTATACATAATATAGCCTAATAGGCATTGAAAACTGGGGCGAATCTATGGTTTATTTGTTTAGCCCGCCCCCTTTCAATTTGCTTCCGACGCCTATGATACATGGGCATACAAAACTGCTAGCATTAATTCATGTGACCATTGAATTTATTATATTCCAACTGTGTAATTATGCCAGATTGATAAAATGCACGGATTTTTAAGGTTTGTGGATTGATAACATTTTGTTATCCACGAATAGGAAGTGTTAGTCAAATTGATAAAAAAAAAACAACAGTACAAAGTTTTGGAATTCAAAAAATCATAATTATCGAACCACAAACCAGGGCTGGGTTTTTCCATTTTTTTACCTAGGTAAATTAAAGAACTCGCGAAAATCTTAATAGGACGAGGGGGGTCGATGTTTTGAATATTGCGTGTATACATTCGAGTAACAGGCATGTCCGCCCTCCCCCCCCCCCCCCCCCCCCCCCCCCCCCATTTTGTTCAAAGCATAACCTTTACTTTTTAAAATGTTTATTGAAAGGCCTGTTGACTTTCTTCAAGCATACGGTTACCCCCTCCCCTACACACACAACCTTTTTATTTCAGTATAATCAAAGAAGGATAGGCGCTAGCGCGTGAAAAAAATGTTACTGAAAGAAGTTCGACAATTTTCCTTTTTTCCATGTCAGTTCTTTTATAGATTTGAACTTTTCTGCCCCCCCCCCCCCATCCCGCCCGGCTTTCAAAATCGAAGTTACGTACCTGAGTTAAGTTGGTAAAAGTCCATTGCATATATAATAGGAATCGTATGATTTCGTATTTCACATGCTATGTGGGATATTTAACAAGTATATTTTAGGCATTTGCTACCATAAGTTTATTTAACATTTGATTGATGGAAATAAGAGTAATTTTCAAATAGCAACCGAAGATATGTTTTCAGTTTATAGCCGGTGCAATATATGCTAAGACTCTGATAGCAACCGTAACTTTAAAAAATCGTATTTCATCCAAAAATCTCTTTCAAAATACACTTTTAAATATTTTTAATCATATGTAAGTATTATTATAGATTGACGCATCTTCACATACCACAATTAACACAACCTGAATAATAGATGATTTAAAAAAGCATAAAAACTGTGTGTGTATTGACTTGATATTTGATACAGGCTTCGGAGATTTTACTCATTCTAAATTATTAGAGGACTATTCTGCAAAGTACACATGGCAACATTTATAGAAATGCCTTACTTGTTCCGTGCACCTGGTTTTTGCAATGGCTATATTGATTTGGGGTCACGATTTCATAGTTTTACAACTTGTTCCAAGAGACTCCAACATATTTATTTCTGATAGCAGCCGTACAAATTTCGAATAGCAACACTGAACGCTATTTTGTTCTGATAGCAACCGTTTAGGTACTACACCGTGTTTCAGATACATAATTCTTTGCATCGCTTTTTGATTTCGATGAACAGTGTTGCTGTGGTAACTTAAATTTAATAGAAATTTCCGTAAAATAATTTTAAAATGCTATTACAGATATAGTTCTTATTTGATTATGTTATAATACATGGCATGCAGATAGACTACACTAAGATACATTATTGTCTTTCTTGTTTTTTTTTTTCAATTTACTTTGATGAACCATGCTGCCATGGTAACTAAAATTGAAAACTCTTCAAAAGAAAGTTGGCGCACTAAATAGGCAGTCGGGAGGAATCATTGACATGAAACAATTCAGATTTAAATGTCCGAGCACAAAGTTGTTTCTATCGTAGGCATCGGAAGCAAACTGAAAAGGGGGGGGGGGGGGGGGCTAAACCAACACAAAAAGGTAATCTC